ACGTGATTGGCTTGCTGGGCACCTATGACTAGCATATAGGTACATAGTAATTGAGGATAGATAGGTCCAAAGGATTATATTTCCTTGTATCGTCTAAGGACTACAACGTAGTGGCCTAGTACATCTGTAGTCGATGAGTCAAGTGAATTATTATAGAGATAATAATTCATTGAGCCAAAAGGAGTTCTGACAGGTATGACTCATGGCCAGCTTGATATTGGGCCTAGAGGGTCACATATATATGGTTCGCGTTGTGACGTGTAAAAGTTCGGATATAAGATATCCGCTAGAGCCCCTATCTTATTGGATATCCAATAAGCCCCTGAATTATTGGATCCTATAGATGAGATCCAATAAGAGCCAACGATAGATTATTGGATAGAGATTCACTAATCTAAGAGACTTGGGTAGTTGGATGGAGATCCAATACCTAATCGGGTAGGATCCATTAGGGTTAAGTTGACAAGGGGCCTCTATAAATAGGAAGGAACCAAACACCTATAGGCTAGAGGTTTCTTGGTTGCCACCTCCTATTCTCTGTTCCCCTTCTCCTCTTTAGATAGCAAGTGTAGAGATTTAGGCAGCAATTTGAGGAGGAGCGTCGTCACAGCCCTATGTGTGGATCACTACTAGAGAGGAGGATGCTCGACCTCTTTCATCCTCTCTTATAAATCTGTAGGGATTCAGGGATATATGATCTCCCTAAGTAACACAACAATCTCATGCGTGGTTTTAAGTTTCGTGAGTTTTGCACATCAATCTTCGCACGATGATGAACACATTTTCAGAAAATTTGGAGTTTTTGATTTTTTATTATTCGGTTGCGCATATGATGTTGCCCTTAGATTTTCCTATAAAACTAAATGAGAGAACCAAGCTTTGATACAAATTGTTAGGATCATAAAGGCATGGGGGGGGAGAGAGAGAGAGGGGGGAGGGGTGGCAGGGGCGGGCGGTGAATTAGTGCTTTCGAAAAATTTCGGTTTGTAAGTTCATTCGATGAAACCCATGTCGAAAATGTAATTAACAAGAAGTGCGAATAATGATTGCTTAGTAAGTAATTCAGTATGCAATAGTAAATCGATTTATAGTAGTTTGGTCATCTCGACCTACGTCTATTCTCAATTTCTTTTCCCTCGAGGGCATCGGCTTTTACTACTAATCTTTTTTTCAATCGACAAAGATTAACTATCATTGTTACAACCCTTTCTCCTTTCCAGGAGAGAACATTTACATCTCTCTTTTATAAAAGACCTCACACCTCCCTTAGAATAACTTCTAAATATAAGGAGGAGGAGACTCAACACTTTTTAAGAGTTTACAATACTTTTATCCTCAAGAATTCTTTTCTATTTATTACTGCATCAAGCAAGAATGAGTGAGATATTTATAGACCCAAATAGTTTTAGAAATAAAACTAAAAATTTAAATCTCTAGGTTTTTGAGGTATTGTTAGTACCACCGCCTACATTGGGAGGTACCACAACTTGCCACCCTGAGTACTAGTGGTACCATCGCTTGATATAATCTGTGATACTATGTTTTAGCAATACCACTACCAATCTAGGCGATACCACCGCTGACTCTAGTGGTACCACTGTTAGGTTTTTCAAAAAACGTACATTCTATATTTTTCAACTCATAGGCGGTTCCACCGCTTGGCCCAACCTCAAATCATTGAATTAACCTTCCAATAGGCCCACTTCAGTCCTGATTCAGGCCCAATAGACTCCTAATTAAGTTGGCATGGATACATCTAAAACCAACTTAATTAGACTCTAAACTACTTCGATCAAGATACAACAATTACGAATCATGAAGCCTACGTTATTCGACATATCATTAGTTCATCCGGTACTTCATTCGAACTTTTGATGCACCGTCCTCTCCCTTGACGTATTGCCCGATCCATCAACATGTTGACCTTCTGTAATATTCGATCTTCTTGGCACAATACTCGATCCTTCTGGCCCGATACCCAAACTCATGACATAAGTCTATCCTCCGACATATCGACCAATTCTTCGATTCGACATCCGATCTCTCACATGATGCCCAATGTCTGATTCTACTTTAATGATTTAAATCCATGAAGTTTCTCTTGCATCACTCATCTTAAATGCTCATTAGTTCATAACTTCATCAATTAATTTTATTATCAAAATTTAAAATTTAGATGATGCCTAACTTAAACATGAGATATATTACTTATGTGATAATACACTGGCTAACTTAGATATCCTAATAGAAATAAATTATAAGTCAATCTTAATATAAGTGCATCCGAATGTAACGTACCTTAATCTGTAAAACATGCTGCTATGAATTATTTGAATTTGTTCCCGAATTAAATGGCATTATTATAATACATATATAGTGATAGATGTATACATCTATCACTATATATAACATCTTATGCATCCAAAACTCTTCCATCAAGATCTTTTGGTTAGTGCATCTTTACACAAGTTTGACCAAACTCGATCGTTATTTGACTATCTTATATATTGTTTAATGTAATTAAAATTTTTTAAATAATTATTTTGAAAATTTAGCAACGTGAAAAAAAGCGAATTGTACTGTCATTTTATCAAAAAATTCAATATGTGAAACTAGTAATTGCAGAAATTAGATGGCATTATAAAATTATCATACTACAAGCATGCTAAAGGAAAAAATAATTAATGAATATATAAAGCATTATATACAAAATGACTAGAACATCATAAGAGAAAACACAACTAAATGTCAATTAGGGTTCGATCGAATTGGGAAATCTTAACCCAAACGTCTATTCGTGACACGAATTGGGAAATTAAGTGGCCCTCGTTAGAGAAGACGACTGAAAATTTTCCACCATCTGGATGATGTGATCATAGATCGTCCCGTGATCATAGATCGTCCCGTTGCTGTAATAAACAACCCCTAGCCTTCTTGAGCTCCGTCGATGATCAGTAGCTGTTCGAGATGGTAACTACGAACTGTAGTTTTGAATTGCAGCAATGTTCGAGATGTGTATATATGTAATAAGCATGTGTGCTGATCATTGATTGATTGATGATGTTGGTTACTAAAGCTTCATGGACGGTGGGGAGAAGAAGAGGTCGATTCAAGTGGGGCCGTGGGGAGGGCAGGGAGGAAACCCGTGGGATGACGACAGGTCCATGGAGGTACCATCGACTCGATTCTGTTCGAGTACGATCTAAAAGGGTGCTCAGTTTGATCGGAGTAGAACGGTGGCAATGGTGGCAACTGAAAGAACCAGGCTGGTGCACATTTTACTCTTAAAATAATTTAATTAACGAAGATACTAACTAGTTTAATTGATAAATACTTTGATAGTTTAGTATAAACTCCTAAACTCAAATTTCATCTTGGTCATTTATTTTTGATAAAAAAAAAATTTAACTCCCACGAAAGCCCCATCATTAACGACGCAAACATAATGAATTCTTCAAACATGATATGTGTGATCAGGTAAGAGCTGGTTGGACATCTGATTTAAGATCATCAGAAACATATTTGTGTACCATCTTATTTGATGAGAAAAGAGGGCCAAAGCCTTTCCAGGACGGCTGTAACGGACTATTGTACTTCATACTACAGCGAAGCTACCTGCGTTGTGCTGGAAGATGAGATGAGCGTGGCTATTGCCATCGGCGACGGCGAGGTAGCGTTCGATTAACTTGGCCACGGCGGACGGCTGGCCGAGGAGAGAGTTCGTAATCAGTTGGGCGTGGATCTGCTTCACCTGCTCCGTGGTCGAGCAAAGTCCTAAAAGAGACAAACATCGGGCTCGTAGGAGTGGGCGAAGCATGCAGAGGCGGGCCGCGGATGAGGCTGCGCGAGATGCTCCTGTCGTGCCGGGACCTCTTATATAAAATGGGCTTCGGGCAGACTGAATCGGCCCTGCAATGCGTCAGGGGTGATGTGGACTAGGCTGGAGGGTGGTCCGCACCATTTGGTCCGTTCCTTCCCCTATCAATATTTGATGTTTCAGACCATTTTGCTCGTCTTCGCCGCTGTTGGAAGACCGAAGTGGGGTTGGCATCTGACCACCATCTCTTCCTCCGTCATCTCCCTCCAACCACCCGATCGGGAGGAGAATGAAGCTGATGCGTGTATTTGATAAGCGAGAGGAGGTACTCTCTCTCTCTCTCTCTCTCTCTCTCTCTCTCTCTCTTGTTCGAGGCGGTGCTCATCCGCCCGGCGCCCTTCTCGCTCAATCACCGGCTTTTTCAATAGTTGTATATCAGGAATTAAAGAAGGGGTGGACTTTTGAAGCCGAATCTTTTGACTACATTAAAGGTAGATTTTGCTCCTTGGTTAAAATCAGACCGCAAAGTTGAACACCGCTTGTTCACTGATACGATAGCAGATGATGGGCACTTCATTTTTCTCCCCTTTATTGAACCTATAATTCGATTCCTACTGCTGGTTCTACTCTTAGGCTAGTAATTTTCGTATCTAGCACATAGAAAAAGCAACACCTTTAAGTTAAAATTTCGTGTTCAGAACGAATACTGCAAGTTGATGCCTCTAGTCCATCGTTGCTAATTTAACTACTTGTACCGTATCCCCTTGTGTGATATTATACATTAAATTGTTTGTTTTTCTTACTGCTTTTAAGATGATCTTTGAAGCCATACTCATGGATCATTGTGTTAATCCTTGAATGAAAGCTTCAGATGTCAATAAGGATATTATGGTCTGTTAAGTTGAGATAACATATTCTTTGCGCTGTGACCTACTTCCTATATGGAGCTTAGGATTGATCGACATATTTTAGATGCAATATTTTCTTAATGAACAATGCCAGCATATACAAATTAAGACAGGTTCTAACTTAAAATTTTTGGAACAAATTGTTGTCGTGTGAGAGTACTTTGAAAATAAAGACATAGGAGGTATGATAGCTAGTTGCTTTTTAGTCCTAATTCTGAGTTCTTCAAGACAAGGACCCTCCAATCCCTTAGATATTCTTCTGGCCTTAGAGAAGTTGGCCATGGATTCTGGTATCAACCTAAACCGGTCGATACGTGTTGTCTCATGAAATATCAAGATGCAAACTGTCTTTTATACTAGTTGTATCAAAGTGGATTGTAGTATATAGACCAATACAGATCTGTACAAGTTCAGTACAAGATGGCATGGATCTGATACAAAGTTAGTATTGGCCGGTATATGTTTGTACAGGTCTGCATCTTGTTAAGGTTCAATTAGTCCCAGATTTATCATATTGCTCAATTTATATTCCTAACTTCATCCATATACCAAGGTTTTTAATCTCATACCATACCGGCGTACCGAGCCTTGCTCGGTATGGTACAGTACCAGCGTATCGAGCGGTACATCAAGGCGTACCGAGCGGTATGCCAAGATTCTAGCGAGCGGATGCGGGTTGGTTCAACCACAGTGGACATCGGATGCGGGTTAGTTGACTTGACATGGTCAGTCAGGACCCGTGACCCCCAAGCTATTGTAAGACATGGGATCGGCCCTGTCTAACCTTTGGGCCTCGTTAATCCTCTCCATCACCTTCCACATCGACGCTCACCGCTTTATCACGAACGGTCGTCGCGCACCCGCAATAACTTCGTTCAACGAACCGTTTGTCGCTTTTGCATGCTTGTAGCCTTGTACAAAGACATTGCAGCATGTTTTGCCTTGGTTTTGTGTGTTTTTGTTTGGAAAATGTAAACAACGACAGTTCGCAATGCTGCAGTGCGACTGCTCGCCGCACCGAGCCGAACTGCCCCAAAATGGCTCTGTTTTTGCGTGCCACGACTTGTTTTCTGCAAACCGCAATTGCATGCAAAACATCATCCATCTCAGCACCCTGGAACCCCCCGGGTGGCATAGAGCTGGATGAGGCTTCGATATATTGTCGGGCGTTGAATAATCTTCACAAGTTCCCACGTTAACTTGACGGGAACTTGCCTTCGCGCTCGACATCCGGTGAGCAATTGTTTGTGGACTTGCAATTGTTCGTTCTACCTTCTAAAGTCCTTGTTTTCTCCTTCCTCTCTTTTCTCTCTTGCACTCAAGGTGCTTGCCGAATTGCTTGTAAAACATCCCTCTTCGCGATACGTTGGGACTTGTCCGTCGCTCGTTTTCAATCTAATCAACTTTCTATTTTACAGATCCTTCGGGACCTGTACGAGGTTGCAACAAGGCTAACTCTTTGCGGACGCATATGTCGTAAGGGCACCTCATAACTTACGCAATCCCAACTAAGTTTGAAGAGTTGGCGCAAGGGTGCTTCACGACTTAGGCAACTCTAGCTAAGTCCATGACTTTGCCACAAGGATGCCTCACGACTTAGGCAATTTCAGCTAAGTCCGTGACATTGTGGTATCAGAGCGGGTAAGCAATTCGAGCAAGCAGCGAAGAAACTTCGCAATCTCACTATGGCAAAGCATCGTGGCGAATCGAGCAAGACAGGGCAAGCCGGGCCATTGCCCCAAGCAACCGCAGGTGGGCTGCAAGTGCAAACTCGCTCTTATGCTCGTTGAGTCGCTCTGGAGGACCGTGGCAGCAAACATGATTAGCGAGAAGTTGGCTACTCTTTGCGAGCAGAGAAGGCACAATCTGGAGTGCCAACCGGGAAAAAGAGCCATAAGGAGAGACTCACGGCGATGGAAACTTGCCTAGATGTTCTTGAAGCAAGCTTCGAGGAACTTTACCAAGGCCAATGAAGGCTTCTTGGGGTAGAGAGCTCGCAAGAAGAAGCTAAATCCTGAATCGACAAGGTTGAGGCCCTAGTCGATCGACTGACGGACGATACCAAAGACTCCGTGCAACATTTGCATGAAGTCGTGTCAGAACTCACTTCCAGAGTGATAGCGCTCACAAGGGCACTAAATGCGGGAGGGAGCAACCAACGATTTAAAAAGGCGCTCGAGCGCTCGCCTAGGCGCTCAGGCGAGGCGAGGCGAGGCCCGAGTGCCTCGCTAATCTCCCAGGCGGCGCGCTTCAAACAGGCGCCGCTTGGGCGCTCGCCCGAGCCCATGCATTGGGCGCTTCGGGCGAGCTCCTGGGTTAACCAAGGCGACCGAACCAGGATTTTAGGTTTGGTTCGGTCCTGGTTCCGTCTCCGATGGTTAGTTGGTTCAATCGAACCAACTAAAACTGCTATAAGTGACAACCGAACCCTAACTCTCGTCGTTGCCGCTCCCGATCCCGATCCCGATCCCGCTGCTCGCAAATGCTGTCGCCGCTCGCCGCTGTCGCTGCTCGCAAGCGCTGCCGCTGTCGCTGCTCGCAAACGCTGCCGCTGTCACTGCTCGCGCCTCTCACTGCTCGCCGCTCCTGCTCCCGCTCTTGCTGTCGCTGCTCGCCGCTGTCGCTGCTCGCAAACGCTGTCGCTGTCGCTGCTCGCAAACGCTGCCGCTGTCGCCGCTCGCGCCTCCCGCTGCTCGCCGCTCCTGCTCCCGCTCCCGCTGCTCGCCGCTGTCGCTGCCGCTGTCGCCGCTCGCCGCTGCCGCTGCTGCTCTCGCCGCTACCGCTGCCTCCTTACACTCCGTTGCCGCTGCCGCTTCCTCTTTTCTCAGTCAGCAGGCTCAGCAATCCCTTACACTTCCTTCTCCTTTTGTTAACAGTATACGGTATACTGTATACTGTTAATATTGTTAGGTTTATTTGAAATTATTAATTTTCAATACTGTTAATAGATTTCCTTAATTTAATAGCATATTTTAATTTAAAATTTTAAATAATTATATTTATTAATTATATTTTATATTTTTATATTTTAGCGCCTCGCTTCGCTCGGGCGAGCGCCTAGCGCCTCGGGCGTTTTTGGATCTTGGCGCCTTTTGGCGCTTAGCGCTTTTTAAATCACTAGGAGCAACACCCGCGTTGCACCGCCATAAAACTTGAAGGCACCTGAGCCTCATTGCTATGGAGGTGTGCTAGGGACGCAAAGGAGCTCGAGAATTTCTTGTTTGACATGGAATAATAGTACTTTCGAGCTATAAGGCTCGATTTTGAAGATACCAAATTTTCAATAGTAACCATGTATTTTAATGGGGATGCAAAACTTTGGTGGCGAACCCGTTGGGAGGAGATCCAACAAGGTCGGTGTCGAGTGGACACATGGGAGGAATTGAAGCGGGAGTTGAGAACTCAGTTCCTACCCGAGAACACAGAGTTCATTGCAAAGAGGAAGCTGAGACAACTTCGCCAAAGTACTTACATTCGAGACTACGTAAAGTAATTTTCTGCACTAATGCTGGACATCCAAGACATGTCTGAGAAGGATAAGCTGTTCAACTTCCTTGATGGTCTGAAGCCATGGGCTCAACAGGAACTGCATTGAAGGAATGTCACCGATATGATCAGGGCAATTGTGGCCGCATAAAGACTCACCGACTTTATTTCCTCGGAGGACTCAGGGAAATGGAAACAATCTTCAGGAAATCACCCTTCAAAACATTCTTGAGGGAAGGAGCCCGAGGGCGAGCAAAGGAAAAATAGTTCCTACAAAGGGCCAAGCTCAAAAGGCAAGGCCCTAAAACCTAACGGATGCTTCTTGTGCGAAGGGCCGCACATGGTGAGGGAGTGCTTATAAAAACAGGTACTCAATGCTTTAACAACTTCAATCCATCCCCCTAAATCAGACAAGGGCAAGGTCGTTGCCCTCAGTTCAAATAGTTTAGAATCCAGCAACGACGATGAGGAGTCGCAAGGTCCCCGGATGGGAGCAATGCGTTTGTTGAATGTATAACGAGGTTAAGTGGGGAAGAACATGAAGGCAAAGCCACAGAAAGCAAGGAGTAGTGAGTTGATGTACGTGGACATTAAGCTCAATGGCCAAATAACCCATACAATGGTGGACATGGGCGTTACCCACAACTTTATTGCCTATGAGAAGCAAAGCGACTTGGGCTGATCTTGGTGAAGAACCCAAGTCAAATAAAGGCGGTGAACTCGGAGGTCAAGCAGATCTCCGGGCTGACAAAGGGAGTCCCCATCAAGATCGGAACATGGAGCGGGAGCACAAACATGATGGTGGTGCCATTGGACGACTTCCAAGTGATTCTCGGAATGAAGTTCATGCACGTGGTGAAGTTGGTACCAATGCCGTTCCTAAACTCCCTATTTTTGATGGGAGGTAATGACCCTGTGTGGTTCTCGTCTCTCGGAGAGGAACCAAGGACCCCCAACAAATATCGGCATTATAACTGAAGAAAGGGGTACTAAAAGGCGAATTAACATTCGTAGCTGTTGTGAAGCTAGAGCCCCTCGCCGGGGAGGCCATTCATGAACCTGCTATGGTGGCGAACGTTCTAAAGGAGTTCACAGAT